TATCAAAGTTCATCTTTAAATCCATCAGCTAATGTTTCTAATGTGGAAAACAATCATCAGCAACACACACTGGACAGTGAGATGATAATGAGCCTAATGCGAAGATGTTCTGTGACCGCTGTATATCCTGGACTTTGACAGGTGTTTGGGTGATGCTGAACCATCCAGACAAAAATAAAAACACCAGTTAGCCAGCAGTGTGTCCTGTAGGTCAGTTTGGTTGAACAGATTTCAGAAAAACCTGCTATAAAGTCACATGGTTCACAATCTGCTTCCAACAGGGAGAAGTGAAGCTGAACTCTGTGTCAAAGGTTTAAGTTGCAGTTATTTATATTTCATATCACCTTAAATCTTCACGCATCTTTGACAGTGTATATACATATGTATTATATATAATAGACAAATGTTGTTTGTTTAATATGTTGGCATTACTAAATTTGGCTCAATGCTTACATACATGTGTAAAAAGCAAATGTACGAGCTGTGAAAACTGTTTCTGATAAAATGAAGAGTAGACTGATATATGAAATATTCCTTTATTGGGGGAGAAAATCATACCATGTCTGATGCAGAAATATCAACATCTGTCTGTGTTTCTGACAGATGATTAAATCTGAGAAAGAGAAGGATGAAATCATTCAGAAGCTGATGAAAACATTTCCTACACTAGAATCAAAGGTCAGTGAAAGCATCTCTCAGCAGACAGAGGTAAACATGGACATATGTGATGCTGTCATCCTCCCAATGATCACAGAGCTGTGCACTTATATTCCTGCAGTTTTGTCCAGCAGCAGCTTTTTTGTAGTAACTAGTAACTATACTTAATTACTTTTTCAAAGTAACTTGCCCAACACTGGTCACCAGCTGCTCTGTGTTGGATGAAAAGTGGTTTGTCTGAAAGAAGCCAAAAGGTTTATTATAATGGTTATGTCTCAGACAGCTGTGATATGAACTGTGGTCCACCCCGAGGCAGCTGCCTCGGTCCACTTCTCTATTCAGTTTTCATGAACGATCTGCCACATCTTGGGCAAATCTCATCTTGTAATGTACTTAGATGATTCCACCATGTTTTATTCAGCTAGCAATAATTCAGAATTGACCAGCATATTACAAGAAGATTTGCTGAACGTGTTTTACTGGATAAGTAAAAATAACATGATTCTAGTTAATCTAAACCTAAATCAATGTTAACTGGAAGTAGACTGTGTTTAGTCAACAGTCCACAGCTGATTCTCTTCATAGCTGGATCAGTATAAGAACAGGTCACCCAGATTAAACTAATTGGTGTTACTATAAATCACCACCTCATGGTCTCAACATATAGACTCTGTCATTAAGAAAATGAGACAGGCCATAGCTGTGGTTAGGAAATGCTCCTTCTAAATAAGATGTTATTAATGCACAGTCGAATAGATAATAAACATTTTTGGCTTCCATTACAAACTAAATTACACTTTGGCTTCTTTTTATTTATAAAGAAAGCAACACTGTTAAAAACAACACATCTTTTCTCTGCTCAGCTGCAGTATCGTATGAAATACACAATCATGCTACACAGTGTGTAACAAACTGCAATTTAGTAATTCCTTGATCCAAAACCAATTTTTTAAAGAAATCGTTATATTGAGAGCATATTTTAAGTGGAATAAACTTCCTTATGCAATTAGAGAACTAGCTACTATTCCTAATTTAAAAAAAAAATCTATTTACACAGTTTTTAATTATTGTAAATACTGTAAGAGGGTTTTTGACTTTTATGCATTGTGCACGAAGACCAGCAATCACTGTTGTGGAAGCTAATGGGGTTCCTTATATATAAGTAAAAAATAAATAAAAAACACTTAATGTTGTTAACATCATGCTACATTTCACCTGCAGTGGAAGAAGAACACTGATATCATCAAACAGCTCGTGCAGGTGAAACAAAAAGCAGAAGACCTGAAGAAACAGCTGCAGCCCCAAACTCATGAGGTTTGTCTTTCCATTTTTCTATAATTGAATAGAAGAAAAGTGCACATCAGTACTTACTCACCAGCAGACTTTACAGTATAAACAAAAAATAAACAAATCTAAATCTAAGGGTCTAAATATATCATCTATACATGATCTTGAGACAGTCTACAACCAAACATCAATGTCATGGTAAATTTTCTGTGGGAGGCAGAGTTGTGGACTCTCAGGCAAAACTGTGCTGGAAATAGTTTTATTGCTAAATTCCTAGAAAACAGGTGATGTGAACATGAACTGGGAACTAACTTTTTGAAATACTACTACAGAAACTTTCTAAACAGACAAGACACACAGCTAGACAGAACTCACAACACCAAATAAACGGAGACACAGGCATCATATACACAAGAGGACATCAGGGCAGAGAGAAGACACCCGGGGAACACAGCTGGACATCAAATCAAATCAAACCAAATCAAAATGTATTTATATAGCACATATTAAAACAACAGTGTTGACCATAGTGCTTCACAGTCAGTAAAAGCATGAGACAGTTAAAACAAACAATAAAAGAGGACAACAAACAATAGGTAACAACACAACAAGCTAGACCAGCCAACTAGACAGAATCAAAAGCCAAAGTAAAAAAAACAAGTTTTAAGACGTGATTTAAAAGACTGGATAGACTCGGCAGTACGACATGATGCACACAGGACAGGAGACTGAAATAAAACGGGAAACCTGAGAAACACACTGAGACACACTGAGTGCAAATGAGACGGAGAGACGTGACCTAATAAGTATTACTTATACTTACCTAATAAGTATAAGTAATAAGCAAATAAGTATGTAGACAAGACTGAGACACAAATAACAAACAGAACTAGACACAAGAGGACGGGGAACACAGAGGGAGGGATTATTCTAACCTAAACACACTTAAAGCATAATATAAATGAAACCAACATAAAATATTCAAACATTATAAAGTCCAGAGACCTCGAACCACTGCGTCACTGACTCAGGACCATGACAGTCAAAGCAGAAACTTCACTTTTAGTGTTTGTGATCATGTAGAGGATCAGCTCTGTTTCAGCTTCTCATTAAACTAAATCGCTGCTGCTTCACTGTACATGCATGATTTGTTGGCTTTGTGTGATGATGCTGCTGTCATAGGCTGATGGAGAGGAGCAGACTCACTCCTGTGTAAAAGGATTGTTCCTGATCTGATTGTCATTCACATGTTAGAAGCAACAAGTTTTCAGTTTTCCAGTTTAGATTTCAATCTGGAAAGTCTCCTGTTGATCTCAGTAGGGAGCATTTCTTCCTTCTTCTCTTTCTTCATGTAACATTTCACCTGCAGTCTGAGGAGAAAACTGAAACCATCCATCAGCTCCAGCAGTTGAAACAAGCAGCAGAGATCCTGAAGATTCAGCTGGAGTCCAAAAATCAGCAGGTTTGTCTTTTCATCATAAATATTATGAAATTGCTGACTCAGCTCTCCTTATGAATAAAATAATAGTCCAAATCAGTATTTACTCACCAACAGACTATTTAAATAAATAAATAAAAAAAAAAACTAAATGTAAAGGTGTAAAATATATTTTAAATACGAATTTAGAAGCTATACATGCTGCTGTTGATCTCAGTAAATAAACAGTCACCTTCCTCCCTGTACAGTGATTTTTAGATGTTGATGAAGGAGGATGAAACAATCGACTCCTCAGTAAAGTAGAAAATGTTTTTCTCCATCAAATCAGAGTGTTTTCTAACTTTGATATGTAGAATCTACCAGAGCTTAATATTTGGTCTAATGTAGATTTTACTTAAACTCACAGCATTTTGTGTTGTTGAAATTTGAGCTTATTTCATATTAAATATTGATGTTATCACACACCTGATCAAATAGCACCAAGTGGAGGTGAGATTTAAAGCATCTGTTTATTTTTACGTTTGATGTGATTAACAGTGTGTAAAGAAACAAAGACAAGAGTGAGAATATTGCACATTCATTTCAGTAAAGATACAGTATCCTGTAAGAGCTGTGTCATGTTTAAATTCATAAGATAAGATAAAATAAGATAAGATAACCTTTATTAGTCCCACAC